TGTGTGTGTGTGTGTGTGTGTGTGTGTGTGTGTGTGTGTGTGTGTGTGTGTGTGTGTGTGTGTGTGTGTGTGTGTGTGCGCGTGTGTGTGTGTGTTCGTGCGTGTGTATGTGTGTGTGAACTGCCCGGGAGTGCCCACACACATACACACAGACTCAGGTAAGTTTTTTTTTTTTTCGTTTTTTTTCTTTTTTGTTGTTTATTTTTCCGTTGTTTTATAGCCTCAAACCTGTTCAAATTGAGAACGCACATTCAAAGCGTTCAGTTTCTGAACGCAAAACCCACGTTCAATCAATGCACAGTTTCATGGCTTTCCGGGGCTAGGGATGCGACCTTTGAGAAGTTTTGACCCTTGAGTGTTGTCTGGGACAAAAGTTATGACCCTGCTTATGGATTTTCAGACTGGCAGACGGCTGATCTGATTCCTTGCACAACAACAACAGGCAGTCCTATTCGGATTGTCGTTGAACATGACATGTACCGCAACAATCAAATGGCAGCGACTTGTTTATGGCACTTTATGCCCACAAGATTGATGCTAGACTGAATACATATACAAAACCAAAAGCCACATACAGGAGGACGAAATCATACATTGAGGGCATCAGCTTGAGACACACAGTATTGCAACACTCCTCAGGCATACAGAAAGAGGCGATCAAGTGCAGGGAGAGAGGAGGGAGGAGGAGGAGGAAACACCAAACCTGCAAATCCATCAACACAAAGTAAAACTCATGTGGAGGTTGAAGTTTTGTCAGTGCCTCTTTTCCACTACCCACTGACTCTGCAAGCATTCCATATTTCTCCATGCTCTTCACTCCCACCTTCCTATTCAGCAGCATGTCATCAACCTGCATGAGACATGTGTCACACAAACAGCATCTGGGCTTATGATCAATTCACAATTTCACATTCTTCTATCAATTCCAATCAAACTCTTCCGACCAAACTTAGCGTTAGTTTTTCCAGCTTCATGACAACGCCAAACCTGAGCACGCAATTGAACGAAGATGATACTTGCAAGCAACAGATCCATTATTAAGCGCAATCTTTTGTTCACCAACTGGTTAGGAACCGGACTGACGCTCCCCAGAATAGAATGGAGCCGGGACCATAAGGCCCCGTTTGAAAAACACACACACACACACACACACACACACACACACACACACACACACACACACACACACACACACACACACTTGGCTCCCAAGAAATGGATATTATGGAGCCAGGGCCATAAATAAGGAGTATTAAGGACCCCTTTTTTTTTCTTTTTTTTCCCTTTTTTTTTCCCCCGAGCTCTACTTGATCAAGCCTCAACTCAATCACAAACCATTCCCCCAGCTACCTCAATCGCTCCCACCTAACAACCAAAGACCACTTCCGATCCAAAAACCAAACACCATCCCTCTTCCTCCTCCACCCCTGTCCCGCTCCCACCTGACAGCTTGCCATAGCGAACACGTGTGTAACGGACCTAACGGTGCATCCCATCTGTTTGTGAAACGGACCTAACGGTGCATTCCATCTGAACAAATCAGGAATTGCCCTAACAAAGTGCCCAAAAAATGCTTCCAAGAGCTTCCTTATACTTAGCTCTCGGCAATCCTGTGCGTTTGGGTTTTTTAACTTCACCCCCGCGTGTCCTTACCCCCCCCTTCTCCCCCCCCCCTTTCTGCCCCCTGTACCCTCGAGTTGCACGACCCCAGATGTACACAATTCCAGATGCTAAGCTGCCTGGTCATCTTTAGGGTCATCATTTCCATTTCATGTATGATCTTTACACATGTATATCATAGGGGCGACCAGGCAGGGCAGTGCCAAGAATCTCCAGGTTCAGATTTTCCATAAGCTTTCTGGGCTGTGGCTCCGAAATCCTTGCCGAATGTGAAGGATGGCATGAGCAAGTTTCAAATATTGAGTTCATTATCAGGTCGTTGCATGCCATTTCTTTTGTATTACTGCTCATGCAGTGTGAGCAAGACCCTGTCTTCACGGTTATTGTAGTTCAAGTTGCAGTGTGATGTGTGGCCCATGGCAATTCCATACATATTACGTAGCCTACTCACCAACCAAGAGCGTCTCCAACCTGTATGGACAATTGTATTGTAATTTGGATTATCAGTATAAAAAATAAAAAATATTAACATTATAAATTGCAATACCGTACATACTACACAGCCTACTCACCAACCAAGGTCTCCGATAAATTGGAATACCACAAAAAAAAAAAAAAAAAAAAAAAAAAAAAAACATAGCCTACTATTACTATATCCTTCCCTCGGCCTCGGGAAGTAATCAAGGCCCCCTACCAGCTCTCTCAACCTTAATGGGGAGGAGGGGTTGGTGGGGAGAGGGGTTGGAGTGTGTCGAACAGACTCCAACTTGTAGTCTTGACTTGCCGGTGGCCCTGTGGAATAGGAACAGGACTGACGCTCCCCACAATGGATACGGAGCCAGAGCCGTCAGCTTCCGTTTTCTCTTTTTTTTTTTTTTTTTTTAATATAAAAACATAGCCTACGCACCAACCAGGGTCTCCAACCTGTATGGACAATTGCAATGTCACATCGGTATAAAAAAAAAAATAAAAAAAAATCTACACTGCTTTATTCCTGCACAATTGCTGCTCTTCGGGGCACTCCGAAAGCAGAGCCTCATGAGTACTGATTGGCGGTAAATTCGCCGGTAATCCTGAAGCAAGTTCAGAACGCAGGTTCGTTTTTTGTTTTTTGTGCTTCAACGCTCAAACCTAGCCTCAAGATTTGACGCCACACCCGATTTTGACCTCTTTGTGGAGGATGCTGACCGTTCTGCCCCTCCGGCATTGTTCTCAAGAATGTTCACTTTTTTTTTTGAGTAGTAAGAAGATCATGATAACAGATTGAGTAGAAACGATCCTGGCGTTCCAGGATCTATGAACCTGCATTGATGCTATAAAGTTGTATACCTAACAAAAAAAAAAAGGCAACCTGCAGTTGCCCCAGGAGCCAAGTTATAACTCATAAAAGCACAGGGGAAGGACACACTCCCGAACACACAGTAATGGGGTGTTGCTTTTTGGTACCAGAAGATGGCAGGTGCATAAGTGCTAAGCTTGAGAAGCATCTGAAAATCACAAGTCCAAGATTGAAGAAGTTCAAGTTAAGCCACCTGTACCTTTTTCAGCAATCGATGCCGAGCCTAAAATCGCCCTGCGCCAAAAGAAAAACGAACCGGCGCGGGCCTCATTTTGGCTGGCGCGGACAGCCCTCTTTCGGTCCGAACCATCAGAACAGTAGCCCGTGTATACCAGCCTGTAGTTGTTTTTCAAGCAGGGAAAGGTACTGGTGGTTTAAGGACTGAATACCTGTATAGGTTACAATTGACAAAGGAATATAATTGCTGTTCAATCTTGCTACCCCTTAGCACATCCAGAGAACGGTGGGCCATCGTAAACTGTACTTCCTATGTGGACTGCAGCTCCAACAGGAGAACCGGCTGGGAGTGCGGAACCAAGTTAATTAATAGGCACTAATCCTCAAATAAATTCTACCTGTTCTCGCTCGTCTTTTCTCCCTTCCCCCCCCCCCCTCCTCCTCCCCTCTCCCTCCCCCCGAGGAAGTGATGCTAACTCCTTTGTGTACCGAGGACTTGATTACACACTCAGTCTTAGACAGGTCACTTTTTTTTGCAAAGTTCGCGGTCAAGAGCATGTCTAAATATGCAGCCTTTTTCTTTTGTTCTTCTTTTTTTGGGAAAAAAAAAGAAGTCCAGGGGTCTGGTCCCACCTACAGCATTGAGTTTTCTCAACGCTGAGCTTTCTATCACGTGTGGCATGGTGGGACGGAGCTCCGCCGTTGATGTATTGTGAATCTAATGATACGGAAACACAGGAGAATAACCTATTAGATTTGGTCATTTTGTAGATTTTTTATTCGACGTGAAATCCGTTTTATAGTATGCTTTGGCCCTTTTGGTTTGGGCGGGAAACCATTTTCCGTTGAGATAACTACCCTACCAAGGGTAGGGTACATTTCTCAACTGCAGTGCCTTTCCTTTTTTTTGTTTTTTTAGACCTCATTGCATCCTGAAACGGAGGAACTCTGACAGCTGTGTTTGGCTCTCTGGCATCAAACTCGTTTCCTTCGTTGGGAAATGAATGCACTTGGCCATCCACGTTGTCCCTGTCCATTTTACAAATGGTGACCTCCCGTCCCCTCACCACGGGAAGTATCCCTTTTTCACGGAGACATTCACTCCGACTGTTCCAGACATGTTTCATTTCTCCGAGTTACGTTATCAAAAATAAGGAGAAAAGCTGTTTCTAGTGTTTTTCTTTAGTTTTTTAGTTTTTTGTTTCTAATTTATTAATGTCGAAATGGCGTCACACCGTTGAGTTTTCTGAACTCAACAACGGTAGGTGGGACCAGACCCCAGGTAGTAGTAGAGGTCGGATGCTAGCCTTTTTTTTTTTCGCAAAAATTTTATCATAAAAAAAAAGTCATTTGAACACGGTCGAGTCGTTGAAAGGAACCTGGGTCGGTCAAGGGCGTAATAAATACGACAAGTTAGAGAATGATGCAGTCAAGGCCCAAGGGCGCCCCGTTTCTCAGCATGTGATGCTCCCCACGAATAGATCGGAGCTTGATTAAAAAAAAAAAAAAAAAAAAAAAAAAAAAAAAAAAAAAAAAAAAAAAAAAAAAAAAAAAAAGCAGTCGAGGTCGGGTGAGGTAAGGTCAACTTACCACCAAGACTTTCTTTCCTGAAAGCGACTTCAGAATAACCTCAGGAATGGACCCTTTCTTGTCGTCATCCAGCTGTGAAGGCACTGAAGGGGAAGTAGCTGATGCAACAGTGCCTGGCTGGGGTGAAGAAGAAGTGGATAGCGACTCTGGTGATGATGGTGTGAGCTGAGGATCGGCAACTTGTTTACCGGAAACACGTTTTGCAGATAAAGGTCGCATCTTCCCCGTCGTCATCTCGACAAGGCTGCTCCACACTGTACGAGTCGTCAACGGTTTCAAGAGCATTGTATCGAACCCAAGTGCTCTCCCCGTTTCTTGATCGGACTGACTCCTGCATACAAAACCCTTAAACAAACTGAACGACGTCTTACCACTATCGACCCTACCCCCCGCACCGCTGCGGTCATTCGACTGCTCAATGCTTGCTATGGTCGACAGCAACGACTTTTTTGCAGCCTGTACATTTTGAAACGTAGAAAAATACTCACAAGCAACTAAGATTGCAATCCTGTGCACCTGCCCAATTCTCCCGATTGTGCTGGACCGATGATGACTAACCTTATCTCTTGAGTCCTCCGCCGATGCAAGGGATGACTGACCTAAATCCAGCAAAACTTCGCTACGGGCATTAGCAAGAACGCCTGCCACAAGATCTAAGCTCCTAACTAGAGAGATCCGTAAACCTAATCTCCGCATGATGTACTTCACAGTCGTTTGCCTTAACAAACTGTCATCGACATACACCACATGCAGTCCTTCTACCCTACTTTTTAACGAAGCAAAATCCTCTCGTGGAGTTCTGGCATCCATCTTCCTGTGTGACATAACGAAACCCTGATCCCCGACATTTTCCCTGCTGTTCTTCCTTCCATTCTCCGTGACCGTCCCAGGCGTGACCTCACTTCCCTCCTCCTCCTTGGGAGACCCCATAAATTTTAGAATGCCGCCTTTTACCTTATCCCCAGCAACAGATGGTGCCCAGAGTGGCAAATGATAGTACATCAAAGTGCCAGTTCCAGTCTGACTCTCAAACCCCATTGCTCCTCCCATCAGTTCCACCAGTCGCTTCGACACTGGGAGCTGTAGCCCCATCCCTCCATATGCACGCGTGTCGCTCGAGTCTGCCTGCCCAAAGGGGTTGAAAATGAACTTCTGCGCTTTCTCTTCAATCCCAATTCCCGTATCCTGAAAAAATACAGCAAGAAGTAAACTTCAAGGTAAGCATGCCTCAGTACCTTCCACTTCCAGGGAGGGATAGAAAAAGGGCACAAAAGGAGGAGAAGTTGGAGAATGGACAAGTGCAAACCTAGAAGGTAAAGTCTTTTTCCTTTCTAGAAGGTAAAGTCTTTTTCCTTTCTAGAAGGTAAAGTCTATTTCCCTGTCCACAACATCAGAGTCTTAAAAGGAGGAGAAGTTGGAGAATGGACAAGTGCAAACCTAGAAGGTGAAGTCTTTTTCCTTTCTAGAAGGTAAAGTCTATTTCCTTGTCCACAATATCAGAGTCTATGTATTGATTCCATTAGACAGAAGAAAATGCATCGATTCTCATACCGTCTGAGGGAAATCCACATCTACGAATTGAAAATCATGGACACTGAGCCCAGTTCTCAGCACGTGAAGCTCCCCATGAATAGATGGAGATCATGCCCTGCTGTTACCTACAAAGTGGCCGAATGGTACCACCTTGGGAGGGTGACCTGACCGAACAGCTGTTGTAGGCACCGGGGCTGAGCAGCCCTGGTTGAAGCATAGAGTCAAACGAGCCCTGTCCTACGCGTACTTCAGGCACTGGGCGTAGGCATTCTGTTCTCTAAAGGTCCCAGGCGTGGACCCCTAACAGCCCACATAGTACCACCTGGTGGTGGCAAGGGCCGAATTGTGGCTCATGTTGGGCAATGCATGTGTTTTTTTTTTTTTTGCTCCGTGGACGTGTCTGTGTTCCTTTTTTTTTGTGAAGGGGAGCTAGGGGCTAATCTTAGGGAAAACTGCAATCTTCAACGTCTGTGGATCGCCAACATACCAGAGGAAGTAATTCCTATTTACTCTATCTTTGCTGACGATTTAACTATTATGATGGAGGCTTCTTCGACTAATTTTGAGGAAATTAACTGAGTGAGGACGCCGCCCTGCCAGGCCTGCCCCTGCCGGTTGGGCCCGGGGGGGCCGCCCGGGTAAACCGGGCAGGACAAAAAAA